CTGATGCTTTTTGCTAAGCTTGTTCTAAGTAGGTGCTTTAGACCACCGAGCCATCTCTCCAGCCCAGACCCGCTCTTTTAAAAAAATTTTTTTTTAATTTATTTATTATTTGTGTGTGTGTGTGTGTGTGTGTGTGTGTGTGTGTGTGTGTCCCCAGCTCAGCCCACCAGGGGGCGGGGGCTGGCTGGCATGTGGTGCTGGGGGATTGAACCGCGGTCCCTGTACTTGCTAAGCTTGTTCTAAGTAGGTGCTTTAGACCACTGAGCCATCTCACCAGCCCTGCCAGACCCGCTCTTAAGGCAGCCTGAGCCAGAAAAAAAAAAAAAAAAAAAAAAAAAAAATCCTTCTCAAATATCAATATGTATTGAGGAGGCCTCCCCCGTACTTAGGATCAGAAAATAAACATGTTCTCATTTAAAAGGTTTGGAGTAGCTTTTGGTATCTAATCTGTACTTTAATTACTGCAGACTTGGGGTTGGGTGAATGTACTGGGGATCCCCTTCAAAGCTTGGCATTTGGACCCCCCTCTGGCTGAGTGCTATGGGGTAACTCTGTGGGCATCTTTCTGGGGATCTGTAATTTTCTCTGGCTCCTGAACTTTGGTTTATTTTGCTTGTTCGGTTGGCTTCTGAGACAGGGTCTCACTATGCAGTTCAGACTGGCCTTGAGCTCACTGGTCTCATACTCACAGATCCTCCTCCCTGGGCCGCCTGAGTGCTGGGATTACTGGCACGTGCCACTGTGCCTGGCATGACCTTCGATTTCTCTGCAGAAGGGGTGCTGGTCTATGGTGGAATTTAGATACTCACCAGAAGCACTTGGGCACTGATTGGTGGGCTTGAGAGACCCCATGCTGCTGCGCGGTGGTCAGGGGACCCTCAGGGAGGGACCTCAGAGTGGGTATTAGTCTATTTGGCTATGACTGCATTTCATCCCTAGATCAGCTGTCCCGGTGCAAGCCAGCTCCCACGTAAGCCACCTGCACCTCCTCCTGTTGGCCTCAGGATGACCTCACTGGATTTGATGGGAGAAAATGAAAATGAAAAGGCCTTTTCAGACTGCCAGCTCTGGCTGCCCACAGGAGTTTGCCCCTGAGCAGTTGAAAATTAGGGGTCAGGATGAAGGCATGGGGAGGATTCTGAAGCTTTTAAAGTGGGTTAACTGAGAAGAGAAGCCAGCACCAGGAGGACACATGCCCAGCTTCTGGCAGTCACTGTCCCTGGGGACCAAAGGCAGGACCAGGCCCAGCACCGGGAAGGAGGAACTGCTGGGGATGCACGGCCTCCCACCCTGGGTTTGTGTTAATTAGTCCTGCTGGAGCACCGGGCCTGAGCTTACTGTCCACTTGGGGCACTGGAGGAGACCAAGGCTGCCTGGTTAAGTTATCACCAAGCACTGTCTTGCTTCTCTAGGGCAAGGATGACAGGGCCTGGTGGTGGTGGTGTCTTCCCAGACTTTGGGCTTCCAGGCCTGCTTCCCAACCCACCCAACCCAGAAGCTGATTTTCACAGCCCTCCTGGATTTGCTCCCACCTCTGCTCCCTCTGTCTGGTGGCAGCTGTTCCCACCCGTCTGGACGAGCCAAGAGCAGACAGCACCAGTAACAGATTTGGTTTTGGAATGCTAATCTCACCCAGCCGGTGACACAAGCAGGCCTGGGAGTTGAGCGCTACATCAGCCTCTAGCTCCCTCTGCAGGTGACATGGAGAATTGCAGCGAAGATGTGGCTGCAAAACCAGGTCCTCTTAATGGAGGTCAGGGTCATTCTGAGTTAAGCTGTCTGTGTCCTCTTCTACTGCACAGAGGATTCGGTACTCAGCTTGTCTTGTAATTACTCAGCTTGGCTGTGTCTGCCCAGGATTCGGCGGCACTTCTTTGCAGGACCAGCTGTTTTGCCATCTAATTGCCCTCACTGTGGGTACCCCACTGGCTCCACCTCTGCCTTCCTGTGCTCTCCAGACTGGTCCTTGGCTTTGTCAGCCAAAGGCCTCGGCGACCTCATTTAGTCACTAGCACCATACACACTCACTGGCTTTTGTTCTTTGCTGCGGGAGACAGGAGACAGGCAGGAGGTGGCCAGAAGGCCTGCATGGCCGTCCAAGTGTCAGTCAGTAGAGGGGCTAATTGGAAGTTCAAAGCAGATGTGGGTTGGTTAACCTGTGCCCACAGGAACAGGCTTCCATGGGGTGGAAATGGGGCTGGAGATGCTGAGGAGTTTCTCCGAATCCTCGTTATCTTGCCTTCTGCTCCCTGGTGCACTATTGCTAACCCTCTGAGCACTGTCTCCAGTGTCCCTGCCCCCATGTGACTCCCACTTCAAGTGGGGTGTGTAGAGTCAGGCATCACCCGAGCTGGCTGAAATGTAGTCTGAGCTTCACCACAGGACCCCAAGTCACAGCCTGCGTGCAAACAAGACCTTCCTTGTTGAAGTTTTTGAAGCTGCAGCCTGGGCTCATGGCACCAAGCTGCTCAGCACCTTCGACATCCTGTTCATTCCATCTGCAGGACGAGGGCCAAGCCCGTCAGCCAGGCTGGCAAAGCCCTCAATGTGGGTCCCAGGCTGCAAGTAAGCTATGCAAATCCAACTTAGGTTCAATCCTTTAAGCCCATCCTGCCTTCTTTGTCTGCTGAAGCACTACCCAGCCTTCAGGGCCGGCCCAAACAGCCCAGTACCATCTTCTTCTCTTGTGTAGCTTAATGGGAGCAGTCCTCTCTGGTTCTTGCTCTGCAAGAAGGAATTACTGTCTTTTCTGGAGTTCTGAAGTACTTAGTCTGCATTTTTTTTTTTTTTTTTTTTTTTTTTTTTCTGAGCTTCATGGACCTGACCTGTTCACAAGCCCTGAAATGCAGGCACAGGTTCAGAGAAAGAGCTCCGGGGCAGCGGTCATCACCAAAGCGTGGGTTATGCTCATCTCCTTTCTCAATAACCCAGAAGAATCTGAGGTACTTTAGGTTCTGGGCTTGCCCTTTGTACTGTTAGGTCTGAGCTTCTCAGGGGAAGGGAGAACCTTATGTAGTGAGCCCTGGAATGGATGAGCAGTGACCATCGTAAACCAAGACACCTAACCTGATTCTTTGGTCCTAGCTCCTGCCTTTCAGTGTGGTTACAAGAATCCCATAAATAGCAACTGAAGGGGCCGGTGAGATTGCTCAGTGGACTAATGTGCCTGGTTCAGAGAAAGTTTAGGCAAGTTTAGGCAAGCTGCAGGGACCATGGTTCTATCCTCAGAACCATATGCCGTGCCAGCCCTGCCCCCAGGGTAGGCTAAGGCCAGAGTCTGGGCATAGTGGGGCATGCCTGTAATCCCAGCACTGGAGAGGCTGAAAGCAGGAGTCCAAGCTACATAGTAAGACCCCGCAACAACCAAATACATTAAAAATGAAAAAAATAAAAGTAACTGCACCCCAAACAGAACTAGTACAGGGCTTCATGTCAAGCCACAGGTACAGTTCAAAGGACAGTGATGTGGAGTCATGCTCTTTATAGTACTGGAAATCTTTTTTTTTTTTTTTTGTAGTATTTTAGTAAGGGTCTACAGGGTCTAAAGGGTTTCACTACATAGATTGGACTCTTAGTGATTCTCCTGTTTACAGCCTCCCAATTGCTGGGATTACAGGCTTGTGCCACCACGTCTAGTCTCAATCACCTGGTTCAGTGCGCCCCAGGGGCGGGGCCAGCACGGCAGGCCAGGGATCGAACCTCTGACCCCCGAGTCTGCCTAAGCAGGCGCTTTAATCCACTGAGTTATTTGGCCAGCCTTAGTACTGGAAATCTTAACAGCCTAATTGTCCAGCAGTGGAATAAAGTATAGATCATATATGCTCACCCTAAGCAGTATCCATGACTGGGAAAATATGTTCTGGTGAAATTGTCAGGTGTTGTGGCTCATCTCCAAAAACGGCCCCCAAGCCGGGCTTCCTGGTGCTTGCAGCCTCAAGTGGCCTCCTCTCACAAGGCACCTGGGCTTCCAGGAGATTAACTTGCTTTAATCAAAAGCCTGGAGCTCAGATGAGGCTGGACTAGCTAAAAGCCTTAGAACTGGCAGCTTCTGCTTCTACATCCGGGCACCCTGCTGCTGAACTCAGCACCCACACACTTTTAGAGGCCCCAGCCATGATGGCAATGCCGGCACTGGCATAACCTCAGAGGCTCCAGCCCAGTCCCTCTCGGTGACTGCAGCCTAAACACATGGCCTGTGGAGCACAACTACTCTCCCGAGCCTCGTCAACTGCAGAATCCTGAGACGTAAGTCGGCTCAGTCAGGAAACGGTGCCTGAACTAGCTGCTGAACTCAGCACCCATGAGGGCGGGAGGACACCAAGGGATCAGGAAGTAGACCTTATCAGGCACACATGGGGACATTAAGGTACAAACAGCAGGACTGAGGGTAGCAGGGGCTGACAGGCTGCATTTTATTCTACTTCAGAAATAAGTGGTTTAGGGGGCCTGGGAGGTAGCTCAGTGAAATAAGCGCTTCCCTGGCAAGCGCAATAGCCTGAGCTCAATCCCCGGTTCCGCCAAAAAAAAAAAAAGTAAGTGGTTTAGACTTTCTTGAGCTACTGATGCCTTTATCTAATATTTAAAAAACTCCTTGCTCTGTTTTATAGTGGAAGGAGGCGACAGACATTCTGAAGTTAGTTCTGACGAGGAAGAAAGCACATGTATAGAAGGACCTTGAAAAAGAAAATCAAAGTCTGCTTTTATTGTTGTGCCAACAGACCAGCCACAGCGGGAGGATGGTGGTAATGCTGATGCAATACTCATTATTAAAGCAAATTAAAGTACAAAGGTCTCCGAAATGGCTTTACAGTGACATGATGCCTTAATAAATTAAGAAACCGGCTTTTCACAGACTGAGCCTCACTTCATGTTCTTGACAAAGTCTTCCCCTTTCTTGATGGAGGCTTTCAGCTCAGGAATGGCTTCGGCGATCATCTTCTCCTCGAAGGGGGAGATCTTGCCGAGGCCCAGGTTCTTCTCCAGACCTTTTTTCTGGAGGACAGAGAGGAGGCAGTGACATTAGAAAATGAAGCTTCCAGGCATGAGTTCCCTGGCTCTGGGTTGCATGGACCCCACACAGTGGGTCTGAGCCAGGTTGGGAGATCAGTTAGACCGTCCTAGGTCCTAGGTGGGACCGTGGTTCTGTCTTTGTACTTTGTACAAGTTATCTCTCCACTTCCAATTGATTTCCTTATCTACCCAATAGCCTTCCCTCCACCTCCCAGCAGGCCAAGGACAACCTGGCACAGGAAGTAATCATAATTAGCAGCACTTAATATGATAACACATGCTTCCCGGTTCTAGCTTCCTCACCAAGCTGCTCAAAGACTGAAGAAACACTTTGTTTTATTTTATTTTTATTTTTTATTTTTTTGCGGAACCGGGGATTGAACTCAGGCCCTTACACTTGCCAGGGAAGCGCTTATTCCACTGAGCCATCTCCCTGGCCCTGAAGAAACACTCTGATATTTACCTGAATCAGGTGATATTTACCTGAAGCAGGTGAATGAAGTCAGGAAAAAAACCCCACATGTCCTCTTGTCACTGTGTCACCTCCCCACACTGAGCCCCATTTATGCAGTGCCTTACCTTCAGCCCACTGCAATGTCCCTGCAAAGCCATCTGCCCTGTGTACTCCTCCCCTGCAGGTCCCACCACACCTGCACACGTGGGTAGGAACTTAGCTGGCCAGCACTGTCACCTACCCCTGGAAGCCCCCAAGCTCACAGCCATGCCTCAGCATCTCTGAATAGCGGAACATCTGGAATGAGGCCACCCCACACCTGCCTGACTTCTGCAGCTGCTGAACTTGACAGAAAAACCTCACGGGATGGTTCAAGGGACCCAGTGGATGCCGCTCCCTAAAGAGTCAGTGACAGCGAACCAGACCACACAGCTGCCCCAACAGCCAGCAGAGCCAGCAGCATGGCTACCTGCATCCTAGTGAAGCACATGCCCAGGAGGAAAGCCTGTGAGAAAAGCTAGGAACCAGGAATGCCTGAACCACAAGTCACAGCCGGCAACACCCGGCGGCAGGCCCCTTCCAAAGAGTGAGACTTTGCAGGCAGGCACTGAGGCCAGCTGAGACGAATGTGTGTGAGCTACAGGAGACCATGCTGTGCTGGCGCGGGAAGCTGTGGCTTGCAGCGATGCCCTGGGCTGGATGAGGCATCTCCTCAGCATACCTGGCACCGCTGTCAGATGCATGGTGAGGGAGACATGTGTTCTTTCCCAAGAGATCTCTCCCAGCTCTTAATTCCGAGATGTGTGTCCACCCTCACAAGCCCGCATCCACTCCCACATCAGGTAGTGGCACACAGCTTGGCAGAGGAGGTCTGCACCTCAGAGTCAGGGGACGGGAAACTCCCACCCGCACCCCCATAGGCTACGTACCCCCAGCAGCAAGGGTGTGGAGAAGTAGGTACACTCCGTCTCCTTTGACTGAACGAAGGAGCACTCAACAACGCCCTCCTTCCCGTTCATCGCATCCACGAGGGAGAAGACAAAGCGGGCGCCGGCGTACGCCATAGACAGGGTGGCAGAGCCTGGGGAGCAAAGCGGTTAGCTTGGAACCCAGAGGGCCCTGTTCTGAGGCCAAACATCTACAGACTGTCCAGCTCACCATGGAGAAGTGTGGTTGGCATCCCTGAAATTCTTGAAAGGCATGGAATTAATTGGTTTTGCTGATCTGAGTCACCCCACCTCCACAGCAAGCTGAGATGCTTTTTTTTTTTTTTCCTGAGACAGGGGCTTGTTACATAGTGCAGGCTGGCCTTGAATTCACTATGGAGCCCAGGCTGGCCTCAAACTTGTGGTGATTCTCCTGCCTTACCCTCCTAAGTGAAGTGCTAGGAGTATGCGTGTGTGCCACCACACCTGGCTGAGCTGCTACCTTCTAGCTAGGCTTATCAAGTGAGGGCAAATGCAATACAGAAAAGCACTGTTCTCTGTCCAGGGACACAGTCCTTCTCTGCACTCCCAGGGCCTTGGGTGTTGGCCCCCACCCCACACTGCCCCTCAACTCTACCTGCTCCAGCCTTGGCCTTTACAACCTCCGTGCCGGCCTCCTGGATCCGCCCCGTGAGTGTTGCCAGCTGGTCTTGGGGAAAGTCCACTTTGGGGGTACACTGCAAGCCAAGCCATGGTCACGTGAGCAGCTTTGGGCTCTAGGTGCAGAGCCCCCACCCCCACTGTCCCTGTCCTCACAGTGGGCTCTCTTCCCTGCACTTCCCAGGAAACTGAGGCTCCCCTCTTTACAGAGAAAAGACGAAGACAACTCCCTCTACTCATTTTTAAAGAACTTTTTACATTTTGGACTAATTTCAGAGGAAAGTTGTAAACAAAACACAGATTTCCACAGGCTTCCTCCGATGCAGCACTTCCACAAGCAGAGCACAATGACGCCCATCAGGAGCTGAAGCTCAGGGTATCATCGCTGAGCCCCAGAGCTTAGCTCAATCACCTGTTTTCCCATGAGCACCTTTTCCTGGCTGGCAGCCCACCCTGCATTTGCTTATCACAAATTCCTCAGCTTTTCCTGGTCTTTCCTGATGCTTACACTGAGCACTAAATTTGCAGAATGTTTGATCTGGACATGTGAGATGTTTCCTCATGATTTCTTATAAAGTTGGGCATTTTGGCAAAAGCATTATAAATAATTTGATGCTCCCCTCAGTGCACTGTTCTTCTCAGGCCTTCAACCATGGTTTCTTATTTTTTGTGGTACCGGGGATTGAACTCAGGACCCTGTGCTTGCCAGGCAGGAGCTTATGCTGCTGAGCTATCTCCTCAGCCCAACAGAGGTATTCAACCATGGCTTTTTAAAATTTAAATTTAAACTTTTTTTCCTATTAGGGCTTTGAGTCTGAAGTGATGGATCTCATTCTCGGAGGGGTCAACCTTGCCCCACCTTACTCTTAAACAAAGCACCTTTTCCACTCTGACCTAACCCAACCCAGAGACATTTCCCACATGGCTCTGTGTACTGGAGCCGCCCTTCTGACTCTACAGCCTCCCCAGTCAGTCAGGAAAGCCCCTGAGGGGCAGGGACGTCACTACACATCCCTGCCAGTCCTTCAGAGGGGCCTTGTGAAGGGGCTCAGGACCTTAAGGCTTCCTGCAGTCACACGCACATACCTGAGAGATCAGGGGGATGATGGTCTTCCCAGCGTGGCCGCCAATGACAGGCACGTTGACCCGAGCTGGATCCAGGCCCTGTTTATCAAAGTGTGCCGCTTGATTAACAGCAAGCTCTCAAGTGGAGAACACGACCTGTCTACTTCCAACACCAGTACCGGGAAATCCCACAGAAACCAGGAGGAGACTAGGAATTGGGAAGAGACACTGTCCAGCCCCAGCACACAGCATGAGCAGTCACGGAGGTCGGGCTGTTGCCTGGGGAGGTCCCACAGGCTCCCCTTCCACCATGAGCTGGACTTGCCCTGGTAGGTCCCCCACCGGCCCGACATCCTCTCAGAAGCATGGCTTGGCTTGCTCTTTTCCAGACATGTCATTTTCCAGGTGAGCCCAAGCTCCTGTCCTCACACTCTGTCATAGACAGCAAGTCTCATTTCTTTTCCCTCACTTCAGGGAAAAAATCCAACCTGCTCCTGGAAATGCAAGGGTGACAAGGCTGGCAACTCAAATCCATCAGGAAGGAAAGAACAAAACCGAACGTGATCAAAACGCCATGGCTCAGGCTCGCAGGAGGCTGACTCTTGGTAACTAGGGGCACACGGTCTAGGAATCTGTGAGCTAGGTACACAAACTGACAAAACAGAATCTGGTGTGCGATGTGGGGTGTGTGTGCGCGCGTGTGTGCATGTGGCGATGACGTGGAGGTGAGCAGCTCCCAAGGCCATGCCAGCTTCCCAAGGGCCATGACTACAGAAGGGCACAGGTGCCCCACCTTCCTGCCAGGGCACTTGCAGGTTCAGTGTCCCCAAGGGTTCTACCACACGCCGGCCCTACGCGCACAATCCGGTCTCCTGAATTCAAGCGTCTCTTGCCTGTCACTGCTTGGAGCCCCCTAGCCTGCGGCCACATCTATGATCTAGAGCAGAGGCTTATCCCTGAGCTGCAGTGTGAATTACAGTGGGGCTCTGGTGGAAGGAGGGAAGGGGCACAGGAAGGAAGGAGTGGGCCCAAGGGGCCGTGTGCACCTACTACTACGCTGTGTCAGGACTCCCTGCTTCTGAGGCTTCCTCATTTGCAAAGGCAGAACAAAATGGCCTGAGGCCCATCAGGGACGCTTTCTGGCCCCACAGGAAGTGGGTCTGCTGCTCCGCAAACAAAACGATTCACAAGCACGTTATGTAAGGCACCAGGGTCCCCAGGCTGGGTGCTGGCACCAAGCAAAGCCGCTTCAGACAAGCTGGCTGGTTAAGATCACGATGTCAGGCAGCTGGCAGGGCTGGCTCAAAGGTGAGTTGTGACAGATGACCAGGGAAAGGGAGCTAGAGCTAGAGATCGTGGACAACCGTCTGGTATCTTAGGATTTGTGGAACTTTTCTGAATTTATGTTGCTGACTTTGTCACCCTTTGTCTAAGGACTAGCAGGAAAACCATGGTAGCCCCACATTCTAGAGGTGCTGAGAATGGAGGAGACAGGGAGCACGATCCACGTACGGCCACCACCACCCCAGGAAAGTCTGAGCCAGGATGCAACCGAGAAGAGGTCAAAGGCAGAGGCAGCTGGACCTCACAGCCTGCTCCACGGACCACCCCTCGCTCCCATTTCCAACACAGGAGCTGCTTTCCCCCAATAGGGCAAACTACAACTTTTTTTTTTTTGGCAGAACTGGGGATTGAACTCAGGCCCTTGCGCTTGCCAGGCAAGTGCTTATTCTACTGAGCTATCTCCCTGGCCCCGCTACAACATTTTTATGTATGTATGTATGTATGTATGTATGTGTGCATATGTATGTTTTAAATTCCCAGGTCCCTTTTAAACATTTTTCAAAAAAATTTTGAGACACCAAGTTGCCCAGGTTAGACTTCATCTTGTGATCCCCCTGCCTCAGCATCCCAGAGTGCTGGATTATAGGCCTGTGCCACCATGCCTGGTTAAAAACATTTACGTTTCCAGGTCTAAGTGCCTTGTCATCTTCTGTGCCAGTAAAAGGGTAAGGGAGGCTAAAGAAGTTAAAAAAGGTGACCCAAATACTGACACACTCCTTACCTTCAGCTCTGCCACAAAGGTGTTGGCTCTGACAATGTCCAGGGTTGTCACACCAAAGATCTTGTTGGGGTTGTACACTCCGTGCTTCTTGAAAACTTCTGCTGTGATCGGGATAGTGGAGTTAACCTAGCAAATCAAAGAGACAGGTATGATGTACCCTGCATTCTAAAACCAGAGCAAGAGACAGAAAGGAAACATCTTTCTGTCAGACCACTGGCCAGGTTGAAGGTACTAAGTTAAAGTGCCCTGTCTGATAACTTTGTTTATAAGAAGCACCTGCAAAACAGGACAGGGCACGCTGTGTGGACAACATGTTCCTCACTGCAGGGGACTCTTATTCTCTCGGTGCCTGTCAGCTGTCATCTTAGACACATGATGCTGGCTCTGAGGCCCCTTCTACATGGCCAGGTCTTACTAAAAGCAGTTGGACTAGGCTCAAATGCAGGCTCTGACATCCTGTGTTGTACCCTGGGTAAGCTGCCTGACCTCCCTTGCACCTGAAAACGATCACTACCCTACTGTTAAGGCAATTATGCTACTGTGAAGGCTAAATGACTGAACATGTACCTGGTATACAAGAGAAAGTAAGAAAGTGAAATAAAATAAAACTAGCATCTGCTAGTTCCCCAAAAGAACTGCTTCTATCAATTTTTATAAACACCCCATAAAGGCAAGGATGGGGCAGTGTAAGATTTTTGTCTAAGGCCAGAAGCCCAAGCTCTGGGCACACATCAGCAGCCTCGTCCCTCTGTCACTGTCACTGTGTTTGCACATGGAACTTTCTTGTACTCAGGATCTTTCCAGACACCAGGACCACGAGGCACCAGGAGGCAAGGAAGCAGAGGACAGCTGTTAAACACAGCCTGAGGTCCTGCAGCTCAGGGCCAGGGCCCAGCACTGTCCTCTCACGTGGCCCAGCATGTGGCTAGGCAGGTGCGGGGTGTGTGTATATTAGACAATGTCAATGTCAGGAGGTGTGGTGATGGAAACCCAGAAACTGCAAAGCTAAAGAAAAATATGGTAAAGAAAGGAGCCCCTGGCTGCCATGACCACAGCTGAAAAGATCCCTGAAAATGAATGCTTTTCGGGGGGGAAACTATACAGGGGAGGTAATCTGTCCAAAGACCAAAGATCCACATTGACTCTCAGCAGAGGTTCCCGACCTCTCCGCAGTGCGCCCAACACGCCCACCCACGCGTGGACCTGCCTCTTTTCCCACCAGCACAGTGCTACACTCCGCAGCACATGACAGCCTGCACTTACCGGGTTGGCGATGATGCAGATCATGGCTTCAGGACAGTGCTGGGCACAGGCAGCAGTCAGGGTGGCCACAATTGTGGCATTGGTATTGAACAGGTCATCCCGTGTCATGCCTGAAATGATCCAGCATAAGATGTTCATGAAGAACACTGAGAATTTCCCGATAGCTGCTGAGTGCTGGGCGCTCACTATCACAGGAAATTAATCCGGAGCAAACCAGGGCTCTCTTTCCAGACAACTGACTGCAGGGAAAACAACGCAGGGTAGCGCGTAAGAGAACAGAGGTCTGGGGGCAGTGGGGAGGACGCTGAGAAGGTTCACAGGGATTAGCAGGAATCCCAAGGCAGAGCTGGGCAGTGGAGAGAGCATTTCAGGTACAACAAGGAATAGCCAGACACTGGGGCCAGGAGAACCCTGCAGACACTGCTGGCTTTAAATATCACTCTGGGCATGACCTTGAATCCCCAGGCCATGGGGAGCCTTTGCTGGTTTCTGCAGCAGACAGACTGAATTAAGTCCACTTTGAATGGAGAGCCCCTTTCTCAGCCACTGTGGACAGAGGCCTGGTAAGCAAGGCTCTAATCACATACCTGGTTTTCGGGGGACTCCAGCTGGAATGACCACAACATCACAGCCTTTGAGGCAGTCTGGCAGCTGCTCGGGTCCGAGGTAGCCTAGCAAAAACACCAATAAGAGACATCATGCTTTTTCTGATCCAGAGAGGCCACCACCTCTCAGGGGCAAAGCCTGGGAAGTGCAGCCCACCCTTGGCCTTGGCCTTGGCAAGAGCTAGAGGGCCCCACCCATGACGTGACAACGACTGCCTGTGAGCGCAGACTGGGTGGCAAGAACAGCCTCCTTCAGAATGGATGCGTCCTCAGTTTTCACACAGCCAAACCCAGCCACTCAGTTGTCTTTCTCACGCTGGGCCTTATTAGAACAGCTATGCACTCACTTTAGTGTCACCCCCATAGAACTCCTTAGAGTGGGTGTCAAACCAAGGACACAACTGAAGGCCATAAGACAGGATGCCCTGGACTGATCATCAGGGACTCTAAGCATCTATATTGATTCTATTTACTCCCATTACCTGGGGACAAAAGTATGCTTTGGAAGACTGCAGAGAAATCCTCTATGATGTATAAAATCTGCTGATTTTAACTTTTTCCTTATTGTAAAACCACTGAGAAACTCATATCCAGCTCACGGAAAATGGAAAGCGAAGTCAGAGGCACTTGGAAGGCTTGTGAACGCACGTGTCAACCTCCCAGCTGTGCACAGCAGTGGTGACCTCGAATATGGTCACCCAACTACGGTCACCTCTCCCACTGTTTGCTGGGGTGACAGGACTATAACAGTGTTCAGTTCCTGGACAGCAGCTGGCACTTTATAGTGAAAGCTTTTGAAATATTACATCTACTCATTCTACTTTTAATAGGTTAAGCGGCAAGATGTAAAGACATTTATCAGTTTATAAACAGCCCAATGGCCAACAGTATGGGTCTAGTACATAAGTGATACAATTGTAAGACAGCTTTTAAAGTGATTTTAAAAATGAATTTGGTGACAGGAACAAATGCTGACACGCTGTGAAGGTCAAATATGCAGGGTATGCAACTACATGCACCCACGACTGATTTACCTGGGAGGAAGGGTGGATCTTGCTAAGGTGTCACTGGCCAGCGGCGCACTGGGCGTGGAGGAAAGGCAGCCTGTGGCACACTAAGGAACAGCACCTCCTGTTGTCCTCAGTGGGCTTCTGACATTTCCCCTTCCTCACCCTCAAGCTACTTTTCAAATTACCAAAAGTCAAAATTGGGACAATTGGACCGCCTTGTTTTTCTAAGACACTGCTGTTTATAAGTTTTCATAGAGCCAAGTCCAAAATGTAAACTAAATGCAAACTGTTTAAAATCTAATTCTAAAATAAACATGGAACCCCACCAGTGTCTAAACATCTAGCTTTACTTAAGATCTTGCTCTCCGACTTGGATCCACACAGGAGACAGTAGTGTTTCTAGGGTGGGCTGCCCGGTACCTTTCACAGTGGCCCTGGTCTCAATGTGGCTCAGATCCGCAGCCACCCCAGGGGTGTGCGCGATATCGTAGAGGGTCAGGCGGCTCACCAAGGGGCTGTTCTTCAGTAGGAGTGACAGGGGCTGCCCGATTCCTCCAGAAGCCCCGAGCACAGCTACTTTAGCATTGTTCTGGAAAGAGATAGAGAAAAATGACTTTCGGGACAGAATCAACATTAAAACAACTGCTTCTTGTATCAATGTGCCGCCAAAGCCCCACACAGTCCTATTTCTCCCAGTTTTATTTTGGTAGAACTGTTTGGATTGGCCCAGTTTCAAATGGGGAGAACTTAGGCCTACAGATGTTATGACAGTTCTCAGGCTCTTCTGAAAAGATACAAAAAAAGCTGCTGCGGCCGGGTGTGGTGATGCACGCCTACAAATCTCAGCCCTCAGGAAGCTGAGGCGGGAGAACTGCCCCAATAAACCAGTGCAAACCCTAATGTGCTGTGATCCATCAGGCAGCTGGAATGATAACAACCTACCTTTAATCTGGAGTTTTAAAAACTCTAAACAAACGCAGACCCTAGCAACAGGCATGTGGGGTGGCAAGAATAAAGACCCCTGCCAGTTTTGGGGCATGTGTGTGTGCGGGGGAGGGGAGGGGAGAGGGAGAGTCAAATGGAGTGAGAGGAGGAGAGCTGGAAGAAAAGCACAGCTGTCTCTGGGTATCTGCAGGAGATCAGCTCTAGGGCACCCCACAAAATCCCCAGTCATATCTGCATATCCCCCATGTACTTTAAGACATCTGTTAAGTGACCTATAAAACCTATTATAACGTAAATGCTTGGAAAATATTTGTTATATTGTACTGCTTAGGGAATGATAACAAATTTGTACATATTCAGTACAGACGTAGTATTTTTCCTTTTGAAATTTCAATCTGAGGTTGGACGAATCTGTGAATATGGACTCTGCAGCTATGGAGGCCATCAACTCTATAATACCAATGCCAGGTAATAACACCCTTCGGCTATCAAAACCATGAACAGTGTTTTCTGTTTAGGAAATTAAAATCTAAAAGCAATGAAAATTTGAATGCAAACAGGTTCTGGATTTTTTCTGTTTGTTTGTCCATTTATTTATTTATTTGCTGGTACTGGAATTGAACACAAGACTTTGTAGTTGTCAGGCAGGTGCTTATGCCAGTGAGCTATCTCCACAGCCCTAGTATGTTTTTTGTATGTGACGATGGGGATCAAACTTAGGGTCTCACACATGCTGGGCAAATCCTCTACACTGACCAAGCCCTCTTTTTTTTGAGACGTGTCTTACTGTTGTTACCCAGCCTGGTCTCAAACTCCTTAACTCAGGTAATTTTCCAGCCTCAGTGTCCCAAATAGCTGGGATTGCATGTGTGCAGTGCCACACCTGGCTAGCTTTTCTGCTTTTAAGTGGTGCTTCAAAGGTGGACCCCTCACTTCCCAGAAATCCTCACTAGCTGAACCAACCAGGACCTGAGGCCTGGCATTTGCACCCATGCTGGGCCTTGCCTCACGTCTTAGGAATTCCCAGACTCCAGTCCTACAGTTCCAGTTCTGCTAGGCATTCCACTGGTCTCACACACCAAACTGCTCATCTATGCCCTCTTCCCCTGCCTCCTACCAAGTGGCGTTTCTATTCAGCTGATATGAGACTTCTAGAACCATCTTCTACTTCATTCCCCCACATTGGAACTTTCCAATCAGGACATGAGTGAGGTGGCATCTCCAACACCATCTCAAGTTGCTCCACCTGTCCATTACCATTCTGTCCTCTGACTCCATTTCGGGGTCCTCCCTCCTAACATCCTAAGCCTCCTTCATTCACTCTTTTGCACAGAATCTACAGAAGCTCCTCCTGTGCCACGTCCTGGCCTAGCTTTCAAGGCTGACCAGAAGAGCAGTTCCAAAGTGGGCAGCTTAAATCTCAAGAGGGATAAAGGATACAAAGACCAAATTTTGTGTTTTTATTTTTATCTAACAGAGAATTAAACTCTACGAAATAACAGACTGACTTGGTGCTCGCTCAAGGGTTCTGAAACAGATCAGTCCCACATGGTATATGAATTGAGCACAACTGGGGTGGGGGAGGGAGGTAACCTCCTCTTGTTTGCTTTCTCTGGTTTGAGGTGCTGTTCTTGTTTGCTCAAGTTTATCAACTTAGTTTATAGCTACGAAAACACGATCCGATCGATCATCACAGGTGAGATCTCCACAGTGCATTGAAACAAAAGGAAAATCTTCTTGAAGTCTTTGTAAAAGAGCTGGCTTCCAAACTTGCTGACCTTTACTGCGCTGAGGCATGGCTATCAACAGCACACTGCTTAGCAACTGTTCTGAAAATGGATATACACTAATTCTCCGTCTACATGTCTGCTTTAAAGTGGAAGTCTGTTATGGTTTGTTTCTAAATTTGTTTCTATTATGCATTTATTAGTATATACGTGGAAGCAGATCTACTAGCATGGTCTGTTCCACACATTCTAATTGTTGGGGATACACAATCCAAAGCCTGAAGGTCAGTGCACCATTGGCTCAAGTCTACTTCTCTCACTTATTCAGCTGCCTATTCAACATCTCCACTTGGATACCCAACTGGCATTTTAAACTTAATCCATCTAAAACTGAGCCCCAGAATCTTTATCCTGTCCAGACCTGCTCTTTCAAAAGCTTTGGCCCATCCTGGCAAATACCAACTCTAGGCCCTACACCTTGATATCATACCTGACTCTGCCCTCTGTCCTACTCTTCATCTAATCAAATCACCAAATCCTGATGCCTCCACAGGCAACAAATACCCAGAATCCAGTAACTTTCTACCATTTCCACAGCTGTTACTTAGGTCACAACTCGTAACCCACCTTTCTCCTGAATAAAATGCAAATATGAGCAAGTGATTACTTTGCTCAAAAGCTCAAATGGTTGTCCTGTTTCTGGGAAAATGCTCATTTTACAAGGTCTGCTGCATCATCCCTGCCAATGCCTTCTGTAGAATTACAGACACCTCTTGGTATTCTCAAACTTTCCAGGTGTCCCCCTGCCCGGAACACTATATGTGATCTCTGCTTCTTACTGGGCTTTACTCAGCTGTCACATAAACAAACTGATCTAAAACTGCAAACCTCTTGGTGACCTCTCTTTCCCTTACTTTCTTTGTTCTGTGCTCACCATGGATATCTTATAGCAAGAGAAATAAGCAATAATGAAATACCTGGTAAATGTCAGGAGAACAGGAATTCCGTGTTTTGTTTACTATAGTATTTCCAGAGCCTAGCATCATAAGTATTGAATACAGGAAGGCTCTATCAAAATGTGACCCTTTTGGGCTACAGTTGTAGCACAGTGGTAAAGCATTTGGCTAGCATATACAAGGCGTTCAATCCCCAGCGCTGCAAACCAAAAAACTCCACCACTCCCCCTACCCACCGGCATTCCTGCCTGTCTTCCCCTCTCCTCAGTGTCAATATTCACCAATTCCCCCGTCCTAAGATAACTCATTTCTGGCCCATCCCAAGTGCCACTTTTCACTCCTCCTGGTATCACCTGTAGCACCCAGCACAGTGGTTGGCAAGCGCATATACAGTACTCGACATACTTATTTATATCTTTATTTTTCTAATGAACTGATTGTACAGGAAAGGGAAAGACATAACCTACATAAGAAACTTGTAATTTCTTTTAATCATTCCTACTTTGGACATGGTATTTAACGCAAATATCTCTTGGGTTCACAAACTTCTGCTGTGTCACAGGCACCTGATGAAACTAGAGGTCTGCCGGCAAGGTGTCTGGGCCTCCGAAGGTTTCCAGTGGTTCTGATATACACCGGGTTTGAGAACCACTCTTCTAGATGGCTAAAAATAGCTTAGGCTTAGTGGGTCCAGGCCACGTCCTGCGTCGTTAAAACGTGTCAGGTAAGGCTCAGACTGCTCACAGTCGGAAGGGCGGACCCTTCAAAAAGGTTCTTAAGAAACATAATATTCAAACTCTTTGGGGGTGGTCCACTGACAAGAGCCAGGAGCGCTGAGTTTTAATCCTCTAACCGTGGGAGTCCTCTAACCGTGGGAGTTCAGTCTGCCTGTAGCATCGAGTTAAAGTTACACGACTTCTCCTATTCAGACACAATTCACGGACGCTGCAAGAGCGAGATCAGTTATGAGAACGCACTGGAAAGCGGTATGAAGACCTAAGCCACTTCCGGAAAAACCTGGCCTCTCAACCTCGAGGGGGTGCAGGGCATGCACAGACCTTCCTAGTGTCCTGGGGTGCACTGAGAGGGCTCTGCTAAACGCACCGTCTCTGAGGCTTGGCCACTTGGCCCCTTTCCCAGGGTTTTTTCTCCACACTGCCTGCCTGCTGTCAGGGCTGACCTATTGCGCCACTGCCTTCAGCCAGTGCGGGCGGCCGTGCAGTCCAGGCCGGCCCCGGGGTCGGAAATGCGCGCGAGCTCCGGACACACGCGGCCCGGATCCCCGGCGCCACGCCGCCCTTCGTGGAGCCTACCTGGGCCGAGCTGCTGAAGCTGCGGCGGAGAGCGGCGCAGGCGGGCCGGGCGAAGGCGGACAGCATGATTGGAGCGGGAAGGGTTCGGGGCCGCAGGTACAGGAGCTGGCCGACTATGACTCCAACGACCTCCACACTGCGCAGGGCTGCCCGGCTCCGGGCCTCCTGGTCTCGCGAGAGTAGCCCCGCTTCCTGCCCCGCCCACTAGGGCCTGCGCGAGCTCTAGGGTACTTCCGGCTTGTGGGGCGGAAGTGGGGAATACCCTGGCAACCCGGGTGTTTGGCGTGGTGTTGTTGCGCGCAGGTTCCGCTGGTGGGGGAGTCGTGGTCTCAGTGAGAGGTAGTCGCGTCTGAGAGGTGGAGGAGGACTGGCTATAGGCTGGAAGCATCTTGGAGCCATTTTGCAGGTGGGGCTTCATATTGAAGAAGCACTGACACCAAGCTTAGCCGGGTCACGTAGCAGGTCAGGTGGAATGGGTCCCGGACCGGAGCTCCCGACTTCAGCCAAACCCACCTCTTGCCCCTGGAGTGAGGCTGGAGGAGCCTCGGAACTCCACAGAAGGGGGCTGGGGGAGGGGGCTGCGAGTCCTGGGCGGGGTTCACATCATTTGTCTTCCGAGCACCCGCCAGGGTGTTGCGCTGTTGCTTGCATTACAGTTCACGAAGCTTAACAAGATACCGCTACCATAGCGAACACTCCCTACTGACTGAGCATTTGGCGCTGTTGAAGGAACTGTACAGGGCCACAGTACCCAGTAATGGGAGGGAAGGACCTACAGAGATGATAACTCACCCCCATCTTCTAGCTCCTCACCCAGCTGTGCTGCAAACATGGTCTTACTGTTTCGAATTTATAGTTTTTTTGATTCATTCTTTTTTTTTTTTTTGTACTGGGATTCGAACTCAAGATCTTGGACTCGCTAGGCAGGTGCTTGTGCCACTGAGCTATATTCCCAGTCCTCGAATTTGTAGTAAAGACACTGTGGCTGAGTTCATGTGAATTTGCTCAGAGTCTACCTAAACAAAAGGTAGAGTTAGGATTCCTGCTTACGTGGGTTATAATAATTTAGGTTTTTTTAAAATTATAAGGGCACCCCCTTCCCCCACAATTCTCTAGGTGTCCACAGAATCATTTCCTTCAAAAGGTTTAGTCAGGTGGAGCAGATAGATGTGCCATGTGTTGCTGCTTTGATAGAGGCATGTAAAACCCAGCTAGACTGGTAACTCAGTCTGCCTGGGGAAAGGCAGGTTGAGGAAGCAGGAGTGAAAATAATAGCATAAACCCTAAAGAGCATATAAATACGAGGGAGCTTGCCATGGCTTATTCTCTCCTCAACTCCTCTCTGCTTATTTGGTGAGTTAACAGGAAGTGCCAGCTGAGTGTTGGGCTTGGGTATTCACCTGTGAACAAGAGCTACACACATTCTGCCTGCAGGGAGCTGAATCTTGTGGGAGGGGCAGGTAAATTGCAAGACTGATAGGGGCACAATAGGAGAGTTTCTGCAGTACTGTGGGACTTAGGAGGTGCGTGTAATCACAGTTGGAGTGGTGGCTGTATGACAGGACCTTCCAGAAGACAGAATTCAGTGGGAACATTCAACTCCAGAGGAGGACTAGATCTCTTGCCTGGAAAGGAGAGCGTCAGATGGGTTTTTAGCAGTAGGAAGTTTTCAGGCAAAGGAAGGAAAAGAGGAGAAAAGAGCACAAAGGAAAATCTAAAGTACTTTGTGGGCCCATGCTCAGGAGACAAATCATTTCCGTTGACATGGGGACATAAGAAAGTGTCCTTAATCTTATCACTGTTCTCAGGTAATAGTTTACCCTTTATCTTGCCACCAGAACTAGGATCAACTTGGGGTCAGGAACTGTAACTTTCTTCTCTCTGTCTTTATTCTGTAACACATTACTGGTCCCAGAATAGGCCTCAGTGAATTTGGGGGAGAGTTCGGTGGTTTTTGATGAGGTAAAAAAAACAGATTGTTCTGGGTCACTGAATGTTAACTAAGAGGTTTGTATTATTTCTTGGGAAACAAAGGAATATGTTTTAGGGAAATTAGACTGCCCTTGTGTGCTGAGGATTCCAAAGGCAAAAAGTGGGGGAGGATGATGGTTTAAGACACTATCCTGTGAGATGGCAAAGATCTGAAGATGGTAGTGGCCCCAGAAGTGAAGAGGGGGGTTGGTGGGAAGAGGTCGCAAGGGTAGAACATGAGAGCTTGTACTTATGTAGGGTTGGGTAATGAATGAAAAGGATGTGGAGAATCAGGCCAAGAGAAATTTATTCAGAAAGAGAAAGGTTGGGGGTTGTGTGGAAGGAGGGCTGGCTGGAGAAAAAGTAAGGTTTGATTTTAGGATGGGGGTGAATTGGGAGTGTGGGCAGAAACGTGTGTGGGTAGGCACACACCTTTAATCCTAGCACTTGGAAGGCAGAGGCAGGAGGATTACTTGAGCCTGGGAGTTTGAGACCAGCCTGGGCAATGTGACATAACCCTGTGTCAAAAAACAAAAAGAAAATGTTAGTGGACGATGGACAGATGGGGAATTACTCCAAGAGGAAAAGTGGGATTGGAACTGGAGAGAGGCCAGGCTGAACGGAAGTCATTTCTGTAGAGGGGGAGAATTGAGGCTGTAAAAAAGAAACGAGAATCAGGTCTTCATGCTCATTCCCAGTCTGGCTTTGTCCCTCCTCCATCCCTCCTGTGTCATTGTCTCCACAGAGGGCGGACCTTCCAAGGCTATAGCAGGCAACTTAACTGTTGAAAACCCTTCCCATTAAGCGCCTGCCTGCCTCACTGCAAACCTCAGAATTAGCTTGCAGTTGTAGTTGTTGTACCAAGCATGGACTCCTGGCAGGCACCGTCCTCAGTGCTTTCCATGCAGAACTGGCACTAAACCGCAGAGCAGCCCTCCGTTTAGCAGAACGCAGCCAGACAGCAGGGTTATGTCTTCATCTCCTCTCTTTCTTTAAATCTTTGCTTGCCTTTAAATTACATGTAATTACCAGAACAGACCTATTGGAGTAGTCTGATGGGCTGCTGCTCATGTTAAAAAATAAAAACAGAACTTGCTGAGTGTGGTGGCACATGCCTGCAACCCAGTAGCAGGAGGATCATGAGTTTGAATTCCAGCCTAAGCAATTTAGTAAGTCTCTGTCTCAATTTTTAAAAACAGATGGGGATATAGCGCATGTGAAGGCTCAACCCCCAGTACAGCAAAAAATAAAAAACAAAACCCCACCCAAACAAAACTCTGAACTTAAAGCCCACACCCCTTTCTACAGGCTCCTATATTTAAAGAGGAGAGAGATTGACTTCTCTCTTCTTGGATCCTCCCCCCAACCCTGGGTGAACTGTGTGCCTTCTGACTGTCCTCCATTGGTGCAGTGGGGCTGAAAGCAGAAGTGGTGCAGGAAAGGGGCCTTGGTCATCTGGCATTAGTGGATCCATCTGAGCTCCATGGGCTTGTAGCTGACTCCCACACACTGCTCCTGTGGTACTTTCTTAGCTGCAGAGCGCTCGACCTAGGTGGTTATAGCTCAGTCTTGCTTTTAGTGCATCCCTCTGCCCTTGGTTTCTGGAATCCACCACCTGACATGGTGTCTGTTCTCCTGAGTACTGGGATTACATGCATGTACCAGCATATCTGGCTTTATTGTCCCTTTAGATGGTCCTCTTGGGCTAAGTCATTTCCAGATGGCGCTTAGTTGGCCTTTTCTCCAGCCTGGCCCACATCTAGTCTATGGGAAACGAGTGTCCTGTAACCCAGTAAATTTGGGGGTTCAGCCTATTTCATATGCATCTGCCTCTTGTGCTTTGCTATGTGCCAGCCTAGCTTTCCAGCCTGTGTCCTACATCACCCTTGGTGTGTGCAAGCCAAATGAATTAGAGCTTTTCTCTCTCTTTTTTTTTGTTCATAATTTTATTGAGAAACAAATAGCAATGAGACAGTTTCAAATCAAATTGGTAGGACAGTTTCAATAATTAACAATGGCATACATTCTTCCTAGTGGTTAAGGGCTTTTCTCTTGTTTCATGAGTTATTCCAAAAAAGCCAAGACATGTGAATGTTTGGAATCAAAGATAGATGCTGAGAGGAGCTTTGTTTTTTCAGACAGGGTCTTACTATGTCTAGGTTTGAATTCACTGTGTAGTCCAGGTTGGTCTTGGCAACCTTCCTGCCTCAGTCTCCTGAGTGCTGGGATTGCATGCATGCACCAGCACATCTGGTTTTGTGAGGAGCTTTGAGACACCAAAAGGTGAAGCATTAGTTGGGAAGAAAGTATAGGAAGTACCCAGGGAGCAGTGGGTAGGGGACAGCAGTTCATACCCAGTGATTTTAATCTTGCTAGGCAAAATCTAGAAAGGAGAAAAGTGGCTCCTGGGTTTGAGATTTGGATAGCAGTTCCGGTTGCCAGAGTAATTAATGCTGGGCAAGTGAGGAAAGATGAGAAAGGGATTAGCTAGTAGCCCTTCACTAAGGTGAAGCTTGGAAGTGTGTGTGCTGTGTGCTCAAGTGATGGGTGGGTCCCACGCCTAAGTCACAGACCTACACATACAGGTACACACACCTGCGGGCTCACATCCTGGGGCCCACAAATTCATGGGTCTACACAGGGCACTTATTTTTGTTTTTTACTAACTTTAATTTTTCATCCAATAAAGTATACACAGGTCTTAACTCTTCATTTTGGTTTTGGTAGCTTTCAACCATGTAACCACCACTGTAAACAAACTATGAGACATTTTTATTATTCCAGAAAGTTCCCTTACATGCCCTTCCATCAGTCTGTGCAAACAACCTGTTCCGGATTCTTATTACCACGGATTATTTATTCTGCCTGACTGTTGTATAAAACAAATCTACAGATCCATTGTACATACACTGACCTCTCCCTTAGCTCATCCCACACATCCATGCATACTGACTGCCTGACCTCATGGTGGGCTAGTCTCAGTCATGGGCTATCAGATTTTGGGGAATAATGCACAAATACACCAGCTTCTCTTCAACACTGGAGTTAAACCTCAAGCCAAGTATTCCCAGACTTTCCTTTGAGGTCCTTGGAGCTAAAACGAGTTGGAAAGAGGTCGTCATTCTGCCTTGCACAGAAGTTGCATTTATATTTCTCCGCTTGCTCCTGGGTATTTGGGAATTTGGAACATAAATTTTATTTATTTGCCTATTTACCTGTGTATTTATTGCAGTTCCGCGGATTGAACCCAGGACCTTTGCATTGCGCTACAGCCTTAGCCCTTTATTTTTTACTTTGAGACAGGGTCTCACCAAATCACTTAAGTTTTTCGGGCAGAGCTAAAACTTTCAATCCTTCTGCCTCAGGCTCCCAATGCTGGTATGATGGGTGTGCACCACTACCCCTGGCTTAGGACAAATATTTTAAAGCAAAATT